GTATCTACAGTACCCGCTCAGCACCAGCGTGGCGCCGCGCAGCAAGCACTCTGCGCAGGCACTCACTGTCACGGGGCTCGCACGGCCCCGTGCCACTCATGTAAATGTATCTACAGTACCCGCTCAGCACCAGCGTGGCGCCGCGCAGCAAGCACTCTGCGCAGGCACTCACTGTCACGGGGCTCGCACGGCCCCGTGCCACTCATGTAAATGTATCTACAGTACCCGCTCAGCACCAGCGTGGCGCCGCGCAGCAAGCACTCTGCGCAGGCACTCACTGTCACGGGGCTCGCACGGCCCCGTGCCACTCATGTAAATGTATCTACAGTACCCGCTCAGCACCAGCGTGGCGCCGCGCAGCAAGCACTCTGCGCAGGCACTCACTGTCACGGGGCTCGCACGGCCCCGTGCCACTCATGTAAATGTATCTACAGTACCCGCTCAGCACCAGCGTGGCGCCGCGCAGCAAGCACTCTGCGCAGGCACTCACTGTCACGGGGCTCGCACGGCCCCGTGCCACTCATGTAAATGTATCTACAGTACCCGCTCAGCACCAGCGTGGCGCCGCGCAGCAAGCACTCTGCGCAGGCACTCACTGTCACGGGGCTCGCACGGCCCCGTGCCACTCATGTAAATGTATCTACAGTACCCGCTCAGCACCAGCGTGGCGCCGCGCAGCAAGCACTCTGCGCAGGCACTCACTGTCACGGGGCTCGCACGGCCCCGTGCCACTCATGTAAATGTATCTACAGTACCCGCTCAGCACCAGCGTGGCGCCGCGCAGCAAGCACTCTGCGCAGGCACTCACTGTCACGGGGCTCGCACGGCCCCGTGCCACTCATGTAAATGTATCTACAGTACCCGCTCAGCACCAGCGTGGCGCCGCGCAGCAAGCACTCTGCGCAGGCACTCACTGTCACGGGGCTCGCACGGCCCCGTGCCACTCATGTAAATGTATCTACAGTACCCGCTCAGCACCAGCGTGGCGCCGCGCAGCAAGCACTCTGCGCAGGCACTCACTGTCACGGGGCTCGCACGGCCCCGTGCCACTCATGTAAATGTATCTACAGTACCCGCTCAGCACCAGCGTGGCGCCGCGCAGCAAGCACTCTGCGCAGGCACTCACTGTCACGGGGCTCGCACGGCCCCGTGCCACTCATGTAAATGTATCTACAGTACCCGCTCAGCACCAGCGTGGCGCCGCGCAGCAAGCACTCTGCGCAGGCACTCACTGTCACGGGGCTCGCACGGCCCCGTGCCACTCATGTAAATGTATCTACAGTACCCGCTCAGCACCAGCGTGGCGCCGCGCAGCAAGCACTCTGCGCAGGCACTCACTGTCACGGGGCTCGCACGGCCCCGTGCCACTCATGTAAATGTATCTACAGTACCCGCTCAGCACCAGCGTGGCGCCGCGCAGCAAGCACTCTGCGCAGGCACTCACTGTCACGGGGCTCGCACGGCCCCGTGCCACTCATGTAAATGTATCTACAGTACCCGCTCAGCACCAGCGTGGCGCCGCGCAGCAAGCACTCTGCGCAGGCACTCACTGTCACGGGGCTCGCACGGCCCCGTGCCACTCATGTAAATGTATCTACAGTACCCGCTCAGCACCAGCGTGGCGCCGCGCAGCAAGCACTCTGCGCAGGCACTCACTGTCACGGGGCTCGCACGGCCCCGTGCCACTCATGTAAATGTATCTACAGTACCCGCTCAGCACCAGCGTGGCGCCGCGCAGCAAGCACTCTGCGCAGGCACTCACTGTCACGGGGCTCGCACGGCCCCGTGCCACTCATGTAAATGTATCTACAGTACCCGCTCAGCACCAGCGTGGCGCCGCGCAGCAAGCACTCTGCGCAGGCACTCACTGTCACGGGGCTCGCACGGCCCCGTGCCACTCATGTAAATGTATCTACAGTACCCGCTCAGCACCAGCGTGGCGCCGCGCAGCAAGCACTCTGCGCAGGCACTCACTGTCACGGGGCTCGCACGGCCCCGTGCCACTCATGTAAATGTATCTACAGTACCCGCTCAGCACCAGCGTGGCGCCGCGCAGCAAGCACTCTGCGCAGGCACTCACTGTCACGGGGCTCGCACGGCCCCGTGCCACTCATGTAAATGTATCTACAGTACCCGCTCAGCACCAGCGTGGCGCCGCGCAGCAAGCACTCTGCGCAGGCACTCACTGTCACGGGGCTCGCACGGCCCCGTGCCACTCATGTAAATGTATCTACAGTACCCGCTCAGCACCAGCGTGGCGCCGCGCAGCAAGCACTCTGCGCAGGCACTCACTGTCACGGGGCTCGCACGGCCCCGTGCCACTCATGTAAATGTATCTACAGTACCCGCTCAGCACCAGCGTGGCGCCGCGCAGCAAGCACTCTGCGCAGGCACTCACTGTCACGGGGCTCGCACGGCCCCGTGCCACTCATGTAAATGTATCTACAGTACCCGCTCAGCACCAGCGTGGCGCCGCGCAGCAAGCACTCTGCGCAGGCACTCACTGTCACGGGGCTCGCACGGCCCCGTGCCACTCATGTAAATGTATCTACAGTACCCGCTCAGCACCAGCGTGGCGCCGCGCAGCAAGCACTCTGCGCAGGCACTCACTGTCACGGGGCTCGCACGGCCCCGTGCCACTCATGTAAATGTATCTACAGTACCCGCTCAGCACCAGCGTGGCGCCGCGCAGCAAGCACTCTGCGCAGGCACTCACTGTCACGGGGCTCGCACGGCCCCGTGCCACTCATGTAAATGTATCTACAGTACCCGCTCAGCACCAGCGTGGCGCCGCGCAGCAAGCACTCTGCGCAGGCACTCACTGTCACGGGGCTCGCACGGCCCCGTGCCACTCATGTAAATGTATCTACAGTACCCGCTCAGCACCAGCGTGGCGCCGCGCAGCAAGCACTCTGCGCAGGCACTCACTGTCACGGGGCTCGCACGGCCCCGTGCCACTCATGTAAATGTATCTACAGTACCCGCTCAGCACCAGCGTGGCGCCGCGCAGCAAGCACTCTGCGCAGGCACTCACTGTCACGGGGCTCGCACGGCCCCGTGCCACTCATGTAAATGTATCTACAGTACCCGCTCAGCACCAGCGTGGCGCCGCGCAGCAAGCACTCTGCGCAGGCACTCACTGTCACGGGGCTCGCACGGCCCCGTGCCACTCATGTAAATGTATCTACAGTACCCGCTCAGCACCAGCGTGGCGCCGCGCAGCAAGCACTCTGCGCAGGCACTCACTGTCACGGGGCTCGCACGGCCCCGTGCCACTCATGTAAATGTATCTACAGTACCCGCTCAGCACCAGCGTGGCGCCGCGCAGCAAGCACTCTGCGCAGGCACTCACTGTCACGGGGCTCGCACGGCCCCGTGCCACTCATGTAAATGTATCTACAGTACCCGCTCAGCACCAGCGTGGCGCCGCGCAGCAAGCACTCTGCGCAGGCACTCACTGTCACGGGGCTCGCACGGCCCCGTGCCACTCATGTAAATGTATCTACAGTACCCGCTCAGCACCAGCGTGGCGCCGCGCAGCAAGCACTCTGCGCAGGCACTCACTGTCACGGGGCTCGCACGGCCCCGTGCCACTCATGTAAATGTATCTACAGTACCCGCTCAGCACCAGCGTGGCGCCGCGCAGCAAGCACTCTGCGCAGGCACTCACTGTCACGGGGCTCGCACGGCCCCGTGCCACTCATGTAAATGTATCTACAGTACCCGCTCAGCACCAGCGTGGCGCCGCGCAGCAAGCACTCTGCGCAGGCACTCACTGTCACGGGGCTCGCACGGCCCCGTGCCACTCATGTAAATGTATCTACAGTACCCGCTCAGCACCAGCGTGGCGCCGCGCAGCAAGCACTCTGCGCAGGCACTCACTGTCACGGGGCTCGCACGGCCCCGTGCCACTCATGTAAATGTATCTACAGTACCCGCTCAGCACCAGCGTGGCGCCGCGCAGCAAGCACTCTGCGCAGGCACTCACTGTCACGGGGCTCGCACGGCCCCGTGCCACTCATGTAAATGTATCTACAGTACCCGCTCAGCACCAGCGTGGCGCCGCGCAGCAAGCACTCTGCGCAGGCACTCACTGTCACGGGGCTCGCACGGCCCCGTGCCACTCATGTAAATGTATCTACAGTACCCGCTCAGCACCAGCGTGGCGCCGCGCAGCAAGCACTCTGCGCAGGCACTCACTGTCACGGGGCTCGCACGGCCCCGTGCCACTCATGTAAATGTATCTACAGTACCCGCTCAGCACCAGCGTGGCGCCGCGCAGCAAGCACTCTGCGCAGGCACTCACTGTCACGGGGCTCGCACGGCCCCGTGCCACTCATGTAAATGTATCTACAGTACCCGCTCAGCACCAGCGTGGCGCCGCGCAGCAAGCACTCTGCGCAGGCACTCACTGTCACGGGGCTCGCACGGCCCCGTGCCACTCATGTAAATGTATCTACAGTACCCGCTCAGCACCAGCGTGGCGCCGCGCAGCAAGCACTCTGCGCAGGCACTCACTGTCACGGGGCTCGCACGGCCCCGTGCCACTCATGTAAATGTATCTACAGTACCCGCTCAGCACCAGCGTGGCGCCGCGCAGCAAGCACTCTGCGCAGGCACTCACTGTCACGGGGCTCGCACGGCCCCGTGCCACTCATGTAAATGTATCTACAGTACCCGCTCAGCACCAGCGTGGCGCCGCGCAGCAAGCACTCTGCGCAGGCACTCACTGTCACGGGGCTCGCACGGCCCCGTGCCACTCATGTAAATGTATCTACAGTACCCGCTCAGCACCAGCGTGGCGCCGCGCAGCAAGCACTCTGCGCAGGCACTCACTGTCACGGGGCTCGCACGGCCCCGTGCCACTCATGTAAATGTATCTACAGTACCCGCTCAGCACCAGCGTGGCGCCGCGCAGCAAGCACTCTGCGCAGGCACTCACTGTCACGGGGCTCGCACGGCCCCGTGCCACTCATGTAAATGTATCTACAGTACCCGCTCAGCACCAGCGTGGCGCCGCGCAGCAAGCACTCTGCGCACGCACTCACTGTCACGGGGCTCGCACGGCCCCGTGCCACTCATGTAAATGTATCTACAGTACCCGCTTATGTGTGTAGTTATATTACACGATTCCCAACCATATAGTTAGATAACTTCAAGCTTCCTCGTGTGTCTGTCTGTATTTCTGTAGTCTGTATTTCCTAAAGGGCATAACCTGGGTGTCTTCAAGGCCCGAGTGAATACGTTGCCCATAGGACGACGTACTTCACCGTAGATCGCATCATTGGATACCACCAGGCGAGATAGTGGACAAAAGTCGGCCCATCAAATATATAATGTGTTATATAGTCAGTGATTAATTTAATATTACCTCGTAATAACTGGTCATTATACATAATAACCAAATTGCTTATTCAATGTAATCAATTAGAAACGACACTCATGACGATAAATTGAAAATTTCGCGCAGCCGTCATCTTGTATTTACATTTTGACAGCATGATAAATTTCACCACCCTCGAAAACCATGAATAAGACCACCTATGACAACATAATGTAGAACGTCTCGGATCGAAAATACTACTTATTGTAGAATGTCTCACATTGAGAATCAATTCACTTGTTTAAAAAACTTATCAATTATTTATATTTGAAAGCGTGTAAAGATTTTGTTTCTATGTAGAAATTATGCTTCTATAGATGCTTTTGTAGGGAGTGGCTTGCGACATTAACAAATATTTGACATTACATCATAGACTGACTAACCTGTCGGTACAGATGGTCGCTCCCGATTCTCGGAGCGCACTCGTTTCTTTGTTTCTAACTGTCTGTTCTGGTCTGTTGATGACTTCGCGCTGTCTAGGTTTCGTTTCGCTGAGCTACTTGTCTCTGCGGGTGCAATTGTCTGTGCAGTTTGGCGGGGAGGGGCCCCTTCGTCCGGTCGGGGGGGCCCAGGCTGGCGGACCTGCACGTCCGGTCGGGGCCCAGGCTGGCGGACCTGCACGTCCGGTCGGGGCCCAGGCTGGCGGACCTGCACGTCCGGTCGCCGCGATGCAGTAGCTTTGTTGTCATTGCAGCTACCACTCGGTTTAACAATTGGATTCTTTATAAGTTTTGTTGAAGAGTCAGATATATTTTTGAGAGCTTGTGATGTTGCTTGCCTTATTTGAGCACCTGAAAATACGAAAATAGTAATTAACACTCAAGGTGATCAAACATATATGTTTCTGTATCTGGGACTGGTGGTCTTAACTAATTGAAAATCGCAGGTTACTCACTTGAAAAGTACTGAGAAAAGCTCTAACAATGGCGGAAGTCCTTTACGGAGGTGCTCGTTTTACCGGTAAACAGTTGCAGTATAGTAGACAAATGATTCGACAGATTGTAGGTAGGTGTGTCTATTTGATGGATTAGGTCTTAGGGGCCAGTTTGGTTTGTGGTTTTTGGGCAACCTGTATGTCATTGGTGGCGTTGAACTCACTAGCCGCGTCTAGTAGAATTAGTCTCACGATAGTTATTATAAAAACACTGGTGGTCTTTTTGGGTTGCAACTGAAGGCTTGGAGGATGGAGCCTCCTAAAGCAAAACTATAAGCAATTGTTCACACATGAATATGCCATGTTAGCGAGATGACCCTACGTGATAAAGTACTGAAAAAACATATTAATTCCGGAGTATACAAATAAGAAAAACATCACGTACTCAAGTAAGGATATAGCGCTGAGATACACATGGTACATTACACGCATAGCACACAATCATAGTGTGGTATGTGTGTACAAAGGATCAGACAATATCTACTAAAAATTTTCTCTTCCAATTAATATTTAGGTATTTGAATAACATTGAAATATGAATTTTCTAATACAGAGTAACAACTGGTTGTATAATATAATAGCTAACATACCAGTATTACTGGGAGGTGTGATGTCCTCAGCGTTTGTCTTCTGAAGGTGTTTAGCAAACAGCTCGCCTGGCTTGAAATCATCCTCATCTGAAGAAAAGGTGTCTAGTGCCAGTAGTCGTTGAGGCACGCCGGCAGGGGTGCTGCTCTCAGCCTCGTCTATATGCACGAAAGACAGGCCAAACTAAAAGTGCAATGTGATTATAGTAGGTACATATTCGGACACAAATACCGCCAAGTCACGATTGCAGTGGCGCCGCGCGGCGCCGCGTACCTGGCGCCGGTCGTGCGGCTGCGAGCAGACGAGCCGCAGGCGGTCCCAGCGGCCGGCGCGCGCGTCCGGCGCCAGCTGCGCGCCCGAGAACGAGCGCACGCGCGCCACCTCGGCGCCGCGCCGCGACTCCTCGCGCGTCGCGAACACGCAGCTCGGCACCAGCACCTGCCACTGCAATGTTACTTCCCTCCATTCTACGCAACTCTATAACCCTTCCAAGTAAAGAGCACAAGCCCTTTGTGTGTGGAGTCCAATAAATAAATAGATATTTAGTCTGTTGGAAGATTGTAGCAGTATGGCAACTACAATACAACATGTTCACCTGATATTGTTCATTTGTTGATTCGGATCTTCCTACTAATACTTCCACTAAAGCTGCATGGTAGGCTCCTATGTTTAAACTGGATATCTACAAAACAAAAACAGATAAATATTTACTTAAAACATCAAAAATAAATAAATTTGACTCATCTTGTCTTATATCTTATACTATTATATAAAGCGGAAGAGTTAGTTTTTTTGTTTGTTTGTTTGAACGCTAATCTCCATAACTACAAGTCTGATTTGAATAATTATTTTTGTGTTGGATAGTGCATTTATCGAGGATGGCTACAGGCTATAAAACATCACGCTACGACCAATAGGAGCTGAGCAGAGCGTATGAAACCGCACAGTAGCTAGTTAAAACAATAAAATGTCACACTCTCATTAGTTACTGTATGATATACTTAATTTTCATTGTTTTCTATTATGAATTAACAGAGATCGGAGTAGGTAGAGCTGTTTTTGGTACTTGTGACTTGCGGTCATATTATTATGGATATGCCTTCTTATAAGCGCACTTTTCATTGTAACTGTGCAAATATTTCTTCTCGTGCGCAAAATAGTGGAACGGGAACGGCAACGTCGCACACTGCGCCCATCCCGCATAGGGTCTACGACAAATAAACAAAATAATTCTCGGGAATTAAATGTTTCCGACCTCATGTTTGCGTAACAAAAAACTTCTGCAGTACTTTCAAAGTCAAAGTCAAAGTCAAAATCATTTATTTCAATTATACCAGAATGGCACTATTGAACGTCAACAAAAAAAAATTGAAAGTGAAGCATTTGCTCATTCCGAGGCGTAGATTCCCATGGAGAAGAACGAGCAAGAAACTCCATAGGTTACTCTTTTTCAATCAGGTTCACAATACAATTTACTAGTTACATAGTTTTGCTGTTTGGATTGTGCGAGAACAATGTAACACCAAAATCCAGTCAAAGTGATCAAAAAAGAAAATAACCTTAAGGACAATAATACAGTCTGGAGCTGACCAGTCCCAGTTGACGGCGCCCGTTCACGAACATGACACGTACACCAGCACCGCCCAACTCAACCATATTGTAGGGAATCGAGCGATCCACTGCACGCGCCACCGCCAATGAGACTTTTGAGTGAGCATGACAACTCCAAGCTGTTGACACAAATTAATTCTACTAATCTAATTTAATATTAAGTTAATTACAGGGCTCTCACATTTACATCGGTTATATAAGTTAAACAATATACAATTTAGCAATATGGCTGTATTATTTACGATTTCATTAAAACAACAGTGTTTTTAGTTATCCTGTGGAGCCGGACTAGCCTGCCTCCAAGCATTTTTATTCTCTATATATTCATTAAGTTTGTAATATGGTTGTCTACATAAAGTTTTCTTTATACATAATTTAAATTTGGATTCATTTAGTTGTTGTACATCGCCTGGTTTCTTATTATAACATTTAACACAGAATCCCATGAACGACTTACTTACTTTCGCTAATCTCGAAATTGGTCGACTTAATCTATTCCCATGTCTAGTTTGATAGTGGTGTCTGTCAGACACTTTACCAAATAACTGTAGGTTTTTCCTAACATACTTACATAATGTTTTCATGAATAAATTGACATGGAACGGTCATAATGTTGATCTCCTTAAACCTTTCTCTGAGAGATTCGCGACGACCTAGATTGTAGATAGCTCTGACGGTGCGCTTTTGTAAGATAAAAAAAGATTCAATGTCAGCAGCGTGTCCCCACAGCAAAATGCCATACGACATAACTTAATAAACAAATCCTATGTATATTGTCTATGAAGCTGGGTATGTCAAAGCACTGAGTAATTAAAACATCCCGGAATCCCGGAGTCATATCCATATTAACCTTACGTTTTAGGTCATTGATTCCAAATGGCTCTACCTACTCCGATCTCTGTTAATCAAATATTTTCTAGTAAGTGTTTAAGAAATAAGTGTACCATTTTGACACAAACACATGATCTTGAACATATTTACAGATAAATGGTTGGCAGTTTGGCACAGTGGCTGTGTTCCTACATGGAACAATTTTTTGTGTGATCCTCACTTGTGTGTGTGTCTACATCATAAATGGACCGTTGCTACACAACCTTTTCCATAGTAGAATCTCGAATCTCATCCTCTAGGTGTTGGTGGTTGTTCTATAATCCTACGAGACATATTAGATTCCGATATTTTGCTTTAGTAACAAGTTACATGCGTACAAAATACATAAATTAAACAAATTTCCAACAGCAGGTCTGATAGCATATGGGTGAGAAAAGAGTTCATTAACAAAACAAATCCAACCTTCACAGCTCTTGGTAGCTGCAGCACAACGGAACATGTTGTCTCGCCCTTGGCACACAGCCACTTCTTCTTACTCACTTCCAAGTTCAGCAGGTTGCTAGCCGGGTGCTCCTGTCGGCAGAACACAAATTATGAAAACAACAAGGTAAGAGTCAGTATATCCTCAAGGGATAAAAGAAATACAGGATTTATACATTTTTACGTAAAAGTAAGAATTAAATGAAAGGATAGTCTATGCATACGTAATACTTACAGGATCTTCACTACTGAAACTGACGATGTAATCTATTTTTACTCTTGGCATTTTATGTTTATTTTAACTTCGATTCAAGATTCGAAGATTACTGCTATCACACTATCACAGAAGTAGTAGGAAGTCAAAGTAAGAAGTCTTATCAGATAGGGTCAAAAAACATTAATAAACTTGTTGTAACTTGAAACAAAGTTTACAAACAGAAATTTGGCGGCCACCCGGCTGTTCTTTTCTTTTTTGTCTGACATTGACGTTCATGACGTTAATGACTTCTCGATAATATACCATATATTCCATAGATTTATAAATATAACATAGATGTCTGGCTATTGTCTACGGGTAGAATTTAGGATCCAACTTGACGGTAAATTCATAAACATACTATTGTTTCTTTTTTACTTATGTCTCTTTGCTTATGCAGAAAGAGACAACACATTATTGTCATTCTGGCCATAATTTTTTGACGTCATCAGAAACACCTAGTTGTGCCGAATTGGCCATCTTAGTCCCTGTTATCAGTAGAGATGGGCACTGGGAAAAAACCCAAAGGGAAAAAACCCAGGTTTTTTCCCAAATGGGAAAAAACCCGGTATTTATGCGGGAAAAAACCCAATAGGCGGGTATTTTCATTTATAATGATCGTATTTTATTTTTATTTTCAGAACTAAATAAATAGGTACTTTGTGATGCGCATATACCTACAA